GTAGGGAAGAGCTGCTGTTACATAAGCTCTCTTGGCTGTAGTATACCTAGCAAGCATAGACAAGAATTCCACTATGGTACTAGTAGCATAGCAAAAAAACACAAAAATGTATTTAATGTTATCATTATATAGAATATTAGAAAATGAAAAATGAGTCAGTATTTGGCCTGCATTAGTGATGTAAATGAATCTGAAATCTATTATCAAGGCATTTTTATTCATTCCAGAACATCACAGTAAAGTTTTAAGTAATGATTCAGAATAAAATCAGGAGGTATCCAGGATGCTGTCAGTTATACGTACACACCAACTCTGCTTATTCAGCCATAAGGAAGAAAGGTTGAATTGCTTTCTTTACCTTCAGTACTCTTTTCTAGGGGAGGGATGGGGGGAGGAATTGAAGAGGATGGGGACAAGACTCCAAGACTCAGACTCTGAGTTAGTAGGGTAATAGCTTTTAATAGTAGATGAAAGTGATCATTGGGATAGTACATCAAGAAGTAAAATAACCAGTCAAAATATTCCAAGTCGGCCAGCCATCCTTGGCAAGTCAGTTTTATAAATCTCACCTCTAAAATAAAAGAGTTTTCTAAAACAATTGACTGTTTTTAGGAAGCTGGTTAAAGTAAAAGTGAGCAAAACACAAAATTGTGCATTGTGATCTTGCTGAGCAACTATACTTGTAAGTAAAGCCCACAAGTCAAATTCTGTTCCTCTGTAGATGCCAGATTGTAAATGTATGCTTGGCTTTTCAAGGAGAGCTTCATGATATTGTTAGTACTCTACCAAGTCTTTTAGGACTCCTAAAGTACAAGCAATTTAATGAATAATCTAGAAAGACTTTTTCTTATTTTGCTTTATAAGAAAGAAGATATATGAAGAATATCAGTCAGATATTCTTCATACAAAACCTGAATTTGCAGTGCTTGATTGCTAAAGAAAATATGATGAGCAGAACTCAATTTATAATTTTCCCGTTTCTGCTGGAAAAGTATTTTCAGTTGTGTTCAGATAGGATTCTTACAAGTTCCTTCAGAGTAGCATGGTCTTAATTTTCATCATGTATTTATTGTTGCCTGTTTTTACGAATACATGTGTGTGTGAGTGCACGTGCACACACACTCATT